TTACTCACACTGATGATGTGTGTTTACTTCTAAGTCTGGAGAGTCCTTCAGCAGCATTCAACCTCAAGTTTATTAAGTTTTATTACATATTAACTCTGAGACTGAGACCATCAAGTAATAACCAAAAAGTTTATAGTAAGATGGTATATGAAGGGGATTATTTCCGTGAATTTTTATGTTATAGTCTGCCCACCTCTCCCCTCAGTGGATAAATTCTGGTAGTTTTCAATATTTGCATCCAAGTATATAGATATATGATAGATAGATAGATAAATAGATAGATAGATAGATAGATAGATAGATAGATAGATAGATGATAGATAGATAGATAAATAGATATGTGTGTATCTACTCATATAAAATATTGCATCAATAATATATATATAAGTTAGTGTGTATATGTATATATGTATATTTTATATAATGTGGGAATATATGTATGATGTATATGTATGAATATGAATAATTATGTGTATGATTAACAAACTCAAGAGCTGATTTTCTCCTCCATGTTTTAGGTATGGAACCTCTTCTCATGGACTTTTTAAGAAGCTAGGGATTCCTGGCCCCAAACCTCTGCCTTTTGTTGGGACGATGCTTAACTATAGGAGGGTGAGTGGTTTTGGGTTCCCTACTTTGCTTCTTGTAACTGTGTTACTTATACAAATGTCATTAAACCCCATGTTAATTCATCCATTCAAATGGACATTGGGATTAATTGTAAGGCTTTCAGTTTGTAGAATTGTTTTTGTCACACCCAGATCAATGCCAGGTTACCCTGGATTCAACTAACATGTGTTTGTGACCTCAGGTTTGTGGCAGATCAGGAATGACTTCAGGTTTGCATCAGGTCAGGTGAGGACTGCAACTGTTGCCACACTTGGACCTGAGGCTAAAATGCTGATGTGTAACAGACTTTGGGAGCATCAAACATTTTGTTTCTTTTTTAGTACAGATTCAAGAAAAGTACAGTTATTCTTAATAGTATTTAAAGAAATACATGTAAGGTGACTGAGTAGCACCTCATCAACCTGTGTGATTTATTCACATCTGAGTTCAGTAATGACATTTATACTTCTTGCTGAGTATCTCTGGAACATGCCTATCAGGAGAAGCATAGTATTTTTGGGATATATGCACATACTTGAATCCTCAATTGAACTGTTTAATCTCCTTATTACTTCCAAGGGTCTAGCTGAGCTTTTACCACCTACAAGAAAGATTTGCCTTTATTCCTTTTCAATTCAAGGTAGAATTATATGCATGACTCTAAACAGCAAGAATGTGGGAGATGAGATGATGTTGCCCATGAACCTCAGATATTTAACCAGATTGTGAGATTTGTTTAATGAACAGAAGCAAAATCACTTATACAAATCACTAGTAAAATCTTGATTTGACAAATCTGATATATATATATATATATATATATATATAATGTAATTTATAATATGTACAAATGCATACATATACACATATACATGTACCTAGGTACTGTGAATTTACACAGATATTTCTGGATGCTTTCTAAAGGATGGACTCCTGGCCTGTCCTTCCTGAGCTCATGCCCAGGGGCATTGCCTACAGGATGGCTGCACTCTTGGCAGATTTGCTTTTCAGGATGTTCAACGTTTACTTACTAGATCATAATTTTTCAAAATCAAGGACTCTGTTGCTTAAGTTTCTAAGATTTCCATGCTTTCTGCCCCCATTTGAACAAGCAATAACTTCTTTATCATTTTTGAATTAACTCTTTTTTAGGTATTCTTTGAAATAAATGTCGTGGGTTTTGTGTTTGTATCAAGCAGTGTCTCCTGTAGACAAGACTGGTCTCAAACTTGCTGTTGAGATGATGACCACAGATTACTTAATCTCCTCACTCAGTGTTGTGCATACCATGATATCTTATTTGTAGGTGACTAGTTCCCAATTCCATGGCTGAGGATGTACTTTGCTGACCCAAACTTATAGGAATAAAATTACCAAAAGGTGGGATTTTGAGAAGGAGGACCAAAGGAGAGAAATAAAATAGACTGACACATGGGACATAGATGTCTTACATAAGCTCATGACTTATGCCAAGGAAGTTTATTAATCAGCATAGCTTTTTACAGGGGGAATTGACCAAGGTGATCTGAGAGTTAAGTCAGAAAATTTTGGCAAAGAGAATCCAGGATGCCTCAAACACTGCTGCCTCATAACTGATTACCACAATCCAGGGAAAAGAGTAGGGTTGCCAGAAACTGCAACCAAAATTTCCTAGAGGCTCTGGCTCCAGACCCAGAGAGGAGCTTTGCAAATCTGTTCCTGGAATGCCACAGAACTGTCATACCTTTTGTCCTTTGCAAAGGTGTCTGAGAAAACTTTGGATTAGTCTGCAACAAAGAGTACCTCCTCTCCACTTTTTACATTTCATGGCCAGATGAGTTATTTGTGTTGAAATGTGTAAGAGCCACAGATAACCTTTAAACAAGCAAATGCTTCCTAATGTTGTTAGACGAATTACTAACACTAAATAATCTGAGGATAATAGTGAACAAATGTTTGCCAATGTTAAGGAAATTACATATGGCAGTTTGTGTAATAAATCCTTGGCTGGCTCCAAAGGGAATTGAATGTGTGATGA